TGGAAGGCAAATGTCTTCTTCATTTTCCGGGAAGTTTAGCTTTACCAAACAGTGAACAGAATGAAACTTGTATGTAGACACAGAAAAGGCACAGCAGCAGCAGATGCTCCCATGCTGGCCACCAGTGTGCTTCAATGCCAACATCAAGGCATGGCACTTTGAGGAAAAGAGTGCGGTCCCATAACCCCACTACTTCACTCACCACATCACTTTCCATGGCCTCAGCTAACTACAGCTGGCTTTGGGATAGAGATGATAGGAGAGACTCCCATGACCCCTTTTCACATAAGTCATTGAGACACTTTCATAAAACAACTGTCATTATCAGGGTGACTTCTGAATATGGAGGACAGACCTAGTACCATTTGTATTTCCACAACTCATTCAGTGCTTAATCTATATAAGGAACATGGTCTTTGACTTTTCAGGAACATGAGTCTCTGACCACAAATCCAAAACTACCTGGGGGATAGAAGATCACATGGAACTGCTGATGGACTGGTTCCAGGAGTAGCAAGAAACTCCTACCTGAAGTCTGCGGGGAAGCTTCTACTTCCAAGTTGGTAGAGAAGCGCTCACTCTGAGCTCCAAGGACTCCAACAGGCAAAGACTGGTCACCAGATGCCAGATCTCCTTCCAGCTCCTCACTTATGGGGAAAGTAATATCACTAACAGGTTCCTCCTTAATCTTCACAGGCTTTGTGTCTTCTGCTGCCTTTTCAGGGTTGACAATCTTCTCGTATTCTTCAGAGAGCTGCTTGCTAACCTGCCAAAGATCAGTGAGTGAAAAAGAGGCCAGAAAGGTGAGAGTGACTTCAGAGACTCTGATGGCAATTACATAGCAGTGCACTCTGTTCCCAGAATATCATTAACATCTGACCTGAACGAACAAGTAAACAGCTCAACAGCTACACAGAAAAAAAATTTTTCCCCTTTAAGTGCACCTTCTGTCTGTAACAAGGGACTTTAGTAAGAGGTTTAACCCATTAACACCAGCTTGATAAATACAAGGACCTTTATTTCACAGACAGAGATGATGAGGCCCAGAAATTTAAAAAGAGCACAAAACAAAAGCAAAAGCAAAGTCCCTCAGTATTACTCTTTGGTTTAACCTATAAGTCTATCCCCCATCCTCCAGTAACAAATTTACCCCAGCATTAAAAACCAAGCAGCTCAGATCTTCATCAGCTCTGTAGTCACCACTGGGCAAAGCCTGAGTACCTTCTGTCAGATTCACAGAAAAAAAACCCAGAAGTTTTCTCCAGTTAGAAAAGTGAAACAAATACAGGAATAAGATTTAGAATTGCCCTATCGTTCCAGAAACTTAACAATGGTAAGGAATTAAATTTAAAATTTTCAGATTTCATCTCATTCTAACAAATGCTTGATTATACAACTAAATCCCAACGGTCAGACAACTAAATCCCAACAGTCAGTGAACTGTGCTCAGGAAAATCCCAAGGCTTTTTAACAGCAGAAGCAAGCTGGAAAAGAATAGCAAAGCCTAATTCCTCCTTCTAGGTATAGGTATACTTCCAGATACAAAGGCTACTGTGGATCTCAACCCTGCATAAAGAACAGAACCAGTAAGACAATGACCAGCTGCAGGATGAGAGTGAACTGCATCAGCAGAATGATGCAGAAAACCTAAATTCCAAAAGCACATATCTGACATTTGAACAAAAATGAACAGAATTGTTTTCTTGAACAGAAATGTTTTTAATGAAGAGAGATCCTGATGATGTTATTTTAATGCACAAACCTCAAAATCCATCACAATTTGGATAGTACATGTACTTGCAGGTGTCTCTGGTTAATACTGCCTCTGTAAGCCACAAGGTGCCAGCCCTGGGAAAAGCATCAGCACAAGGCTCCAAAATGAGTAAACTAGCACTCAGGTAACGTGACAAGGAAGAAGGGATGGCAGGTTTTGCTTTTGGCCACAGGCTGCCTACTTGATTCAAGCCTTGTTTTTGATAAGTAGGAGTAAGATTCCCACTTCAAGTCCTTGTATTTCTCTAAGTCCACAACAGGCAGCCTTATATCATTCAAATAAAATGCATATGTTTAATTTCATAGAACACCTGGACAGAGAGAAACCATACCCTTATTCTTACAACCTATGTTTATTGAAGCCTCTTATTCCAAGGAATTTAACAATTCCTCTTCTTTCCCCACAGAAGCACAGTCTCCTCTAAAGTGGACGGTAGCATCAGTGTGACAACTCAGATTAGCACAATGCTACCCTATACTCCTGAAACTTACGTAAGTCAACTCTTGCTTAAGTGATCACAAACAACTACAGCCTAGTAATTTTAGTCTGCTACTTGTTTTCCCAAAATGTTAACCAAAAAAATATCCAAATAAAGCAGAAAATTCAGTTAATCAGTCAGTTCTGATTTTACCTCTACTAGCGGAACCTCTTGAGTACTCATTACCTCTTGAGTCTGGGCCACTCAAGAGCTGGAAGACTCTTCTTAAACTCAGGCAAGCCATCAGGAGAGCATCCCTAGCCTCAGAAGGGACACATGTAAGGGGCACTGTCTTCCTGTCAAAAAAATCCCATTTCTCTTT